TTCCCTAACTTGCCGGTGCCACCAGACACCAGGACTCTCCCTAGGGGACTTGGGCCTGACTCTTGTGATTCACCACCAGAACCAACACAGAGGTCAGCATTAGGCGAAACACATGGCTGAAAGTAGGGTAGGCAATTCCTCCAGAGCTAAATCAGGCAACAGGAAGTGGGCAACCGGACAACAGATGTGCCCCACAGCTTGCTTGGGAATGTCCCAACCAACATTCTTAGCATTGTGTGCATTCAGAACAGGTGGGGTCCACAGGAGAGGTTGTTTATAGTGACTGAAAATTCCTTTGTTGTGTTTGCCAGGCTGAAACGATTTCTGTAAGGTCTTGTTCTTCTTCAAGGAGTCTACACAATCTTTCAATAAATCAGAGCATAAATAAGATAGTGACAGCCGGTAACACACTCAAGAAACACTCGTGTGGCATGCACGGCACCTCACTTCATCTATACCACTGTCTAGCTCATTGGTTCTTAAGCAGAGGTGACTCCGTTCTCCAAGGAGCATGTAAAAATGTCCGGAGATAGTTCAGGTTGTCAAGACCTGGCGGTGCTTCTGGCCTCCACCAGGCAGAGGCCTCTGATGCTGAAACACCCTGTGGTGCACAGGAGAGCAACCCCAGAAAAAAAGTCACCCAGCCTGGAAGGTTGATTGTGCCGAGATGCAGACCCCCCGACCAGGCTGGTGATGCTCTTCTCATTTTGATGAGGGACACAGATGAAGCTCGCCAAAGACAGGCAGTGGAACCGGGCTTCTGGGAGACAGGAAGGGGTGGGTTGGAATGTTCATCCAAAGGCCCTGCTAGTAGCTGTTGATTTTGAAGCCTGGGATTAGACCTCAGTGTGCCGCTCGCTATCCCACTCCACCCACTCCGTATCCTGGTTCCGTGGGATGAGGATCTCAGGAGCGGGTTTATCAGGAGCACAGATGGTGTTTTGGACAGCCTTGAGACAAAGTTCCCACCCACCCCCATTAGAGTGCTCTTTGAGGGACACTCATGGGTAACCGTGACATGCAGTGGGGTGAACACACAATAAACTGAATTTTCGGTATTGTGTTTTGTTTTGTTGTTTTATTTTGCTTTTTTGGAGACAGACTCTTATTCTGCAGCACAGTCTAGCCTGGCACTCCCAGTGTAGCCCAGGCTGGTCTCAAGCACACAGCAGTCCTGTCTCAGTCTCTCAAGTGCTGTGAATACAGGTGTGAGGCTTCTCGTCTCTTAAGCTCACCTGGAAACTTCTCTTTCCACGGTCTGCCTATGTGGTCCCATAGAACCTTGAAGACCGCACTATGATCCTACTCATCACACAATATGACAATTCGCAATTGCTTGACTGTCGGGTCTCCTGGACTATAAGCCGCTTGATAATGGAATCACACTCAGAGGCCTTGTTAAGCTCAATTCCTGGCATGGGCTAAGCACACAAAGTATAACTTGCTGCTTATCTGTTCCAGAAGTTAGAATACCTTTGCTGTGTCAGATAATAGTAAGTCGTTTAGGCTTCGTAAACCAAATGTCAATTGTTATAATTTTTTAAAAAAAAAAGGTCATAGAAGATATATAAATGAATGAGCTTAGCTTTGTACCAATAAAACTTTCTTGACAAACATCTAGCAGACCACATTTGGCCTATGGACCATAGTTTGCTATTAGAATAAACATTCTTCCATTAGTAAGTCCCCATTTTTAGATGGACATTTTTAGGTGGTTGCTGCCCAACAGTCTCCTAAACACAGCTGTATTTCCTAATGTATTAGATACTCCTCTGCTGTTGTGAGAAAATGCCGTGACCAAAAGCAACTGAGAGAAAGAAGAGCTTATTTGGGCTTATGGCTCCAGGGGAATAATCCAGAACGTTGGGAAGAGGCGTGGCCACACAGGAAGCTGAGCAATCACATCTCCACCCACACTCAAGAAGCAAATAAAATGGAAGTGGGAGGGAGCTACAAACTGACGACACTTCAATATCCCCACAGTGAAATACCTACATCCTAAACATTCCATAACCTCCCCCAAACAGTGCCAAGTGGGGACCAAGAGTTCAAATACGGGAGTGTATAGGGGACATTTCTCACTCAACCCCCACCCCAGGAACCTCTGAAGCCAAATATGGGCATATGACTGAATGACAGCCAACCAGAAGCAGAGGGCAGAGTTATCCAGGATACCTTAGAAGTCTGTACGAAAGAAGCAGCTGGGAGAAGCCCCTTTTTCTCCTCCTATTTTCTGTCCTCCTTCTCAGGCCTTTGGTAGTCATCCTAGACCATGAGGTGACTTAAAGGAGACAAACCACAAACAAGAAGTAAGCAGTCAGGAGCCTGAGTCCCCAACTGCACCATGGAGCCGACATGTGTCTCCCACGCGGCCACCTATAAACTTCTACATAAGAGAAAAGTGAAATTTTGTCTTCGCCCTCGGGGCGTGTTTACATCATTCTGTGCGGATGAGCCTAATCTTAACTGTCCATCTGCCCATGGAAACACTCAGCAAATATTTGAAAGGAATGCCCAGAGTGTACACTGCCACAGAGGAAATGAACACCCCCAGTGGGCGAGGAGCCATGGAAACGCACAAACAGCGCAGCCTCCTCGGGCACTCCGTGGTTAAGCACCCAGGATGACTCATGACTCCTGTCCCCTTTCTTCCCCGTAGTGTGCCCACCGTCTGCTCTTCTTTCTTCAGAGGCATCAAGATCTGCCATGGAGACTCTGTCTTCTCAGGGTGCATGCTAGATTGTCATTTGAAAGGGGTTTTAGTGACGATACCAAGAGGTGGGAGCTGAGAAAATCCCCAAAACAACAGCAAACAACGGCAGATGATCTGCATGCCTTGTCAGCCTGCAGGTAGACAGACCAAGAGGCCTGGCTCTGGCTAAAAAACCCTGGAATTGAATAATGTCCCTTAGTGTGCCATTGGCCAAGTCATCTGGGTTCATGGCGTGCTGGTTCAAATGTACAAAGTGAATCAGTAATAACTTTCTGTAGCTTCGTTCTGGGCCGCTGTTGCGGAATACTCTTCTCTGGGCTGATATGCTGGTACCATCTTACAGGTAGAGAAGCTGTGATGATACTTGTGAGGCCCTCACAAGATCAGGCTATTGACATTCCCTTGTAGAACAAGTCAGGGAAAGGTTCTTGCTCCCGCCCCCAACCTGAGATTTCAGCCACCCTCTTTCCTGCCCCAGTTCAACTACATGGGATCATCAGGGGTGTGGAATCTGGAACTCTAGAGAGTCACCATTCGTGAGCTTTTGATCAACCTGCTTTTAAGCTCCTAAGTAGCCCCCCCCCAAAAAAAAAAAAAAACTTATTGGCCCAGTTGATTTGAGTGGAAACTTTTTTTTTCTATTGACCATTCCCTATCTGGGGTGTCCTGGTCAGTTTTTTGTCAACTTGACACAAGCCCCGGTCATCTGGGAAAAGGGAACTTCAGTTGAGAAAATGCCTCCATCAGATGGGTCTGTCGGCAAGCCTGTGGGGCATTTTCTCCATTAATGGTTGGTGTGGGAGGCCCCCATCCACTGTGGGCGGGGCCACCTCAGAGTGGATGATCCTGGGTTATCTGAAAAAAAAAAAAAAATCAGGGTGGCCAGGCAGTGGTGGCGCACGCCTTTAATCCCAGCACTCGGGAGGCAGAGCCAGGCGGATCTCTGTGAGTCTGAGGCCAGCCTGGTCTACAGAGTGAGATCCAGGACAGCCAAGACTACACAGAGAAACCCTGTCTCGAAAAACAAAACCAAAAAAAGAAAGAAGAGAAAGAAAAATCTGGTTGAGCAAGCCACGGAGAGCAGGCCGGCACACAGCATTCTTCTCTAGTCTTTACTTTACTTTCTGTCTCCAGGCTCCTGCCCTGACTTCCATCAGTGATGAACTGTGACCTGGGACATGGAAGCCAAACAAACCCTTTCCTCCCCAAGTTGTTTGGCCTTGATGTTTATCACAGCAACAGGAAGCTAACTAGGAGATGGGGTCAAAAGAAACAAAGTCCCCAGAAAAAATTCTTGCAGCAGGGATAAATAGTGGAAGAGGAGGAGCTCAAGTGACCCTTCTAGAATCTTCTCTCTGCCTACCTATGCTGCCAGTCAGGACCATGGTGTGGCAGAATGACCACCTGGGCTTTGGGTGGATGCCCAGCCACCGCTATGGGAGAGCAAAATCTTCTCCCTTTAGCCTAAATCCTTCCTTCCTGTCCTCTTCTCTTAGCCTGTTCCCCTGCTCAGTTGCATTTCCTTCTTATTATTCCATCCTACTTTTTAATGACAGCAGACCAATCCCTAGAATCAGTCAACACCCCCACACCTGCCACAGTTTCATAATCAGCCTCAGCGGAGTCCTGCGTGAACTTCCTGAGTCACAAGGATCTTCTCAAGGTCACACTACTGGTCACACTTTCTGGCGGATGAAGCCAAAGACCTGGTCAGTTGTCTTAACGGAACAAGGGGTCACAGGGTACCTGGAACCTGATGGTCTCTTTTGGAAAGATGGCTTACAAATACAAAATAGTCCACATCCCAGGAGAGGTCTGCAAAAGCTATCAGGTGCCAAGCCGGAAAATGAACGACCCAAAAAACAACCGCCAGTGGTTAAACTGGATCCCACAGCATTCAGCGTAGGAACTGGGTTCCATAGAGCTGCTGTTGGGGGTGTGTGGGGGGGGGGGTGCGGCGGCTTCCTGAAAACGGTGTCAGGGAGAAGTGGATGACCTCTGGAGAGAGGGCTGAGTGGAGAGGACCCTTTGGGAAGCCTTCATGGGGAAGGACCTTTATGGGGGGGGTCATCAGTAAAGGCAGCCTAAATGAAGTACAAGTCGAGCCCGGCACACATCTAGATCTGGGTGGGCAAGAGGCAAATGAGCCCTCTCGCCACCCCACCCCAGACCCCAGTGAAACAAAAGTTTCCTTTTCACCTGACAGCACATCCAAACCCAATTAAAAAAGGAAAAAAAAAAAAAAACCACTATTAGGCATCAGGCAAAAATGAACAAAAGCCAGGTGAAGCCGAGTAAACAACAGCCTTGTGTTGTGCACAGCCTTTCTCAGCCCGGGACCCTGGATGAACGCAACCAGGGAGACTAAACGGAAGTGGCTTTCAGGTGCTCGGGGATCGACCGCAGAGCCTGCCGGGGCTGGCCGGAGCGGTCGGTTCACTCAGCGGTCGGTCCCTGTGGAGTCTCTGTGGAGTAGTGCTATAACATAGCGTCTAGGCAAGCTACGGACTCATTGTGACGAGGCACCCGCGCCTGTGTCCCTACCCAAACGGCACTGTGGCCTGACCCTGCAGCAGCCCAGGTTCTCGAGGGACAGGGCGGCTGTAGAGTCTTGGATCCATCACACCGTGATGAGGTTGGACAAGTGACTCACAGTTTCGGTTCCCTCGTCCGCAGGGTGAGACCGAGGCTCATGTCAACTGCAGGGACGCACCACGACCGGGGGCAGCTGCTGAGTTTTTGCCATCATGGTGGTGGTTTTGGTCTCAGTGCCGGCCAGCCTTGCGCTAGTAACGACAAGAGCCCAGAGAACCGGGAAGGGAAGGACACAGCTGCTACCAGAAACACTGTGAAGGCCAGGGATGCAGCCTTTGTCCGGACTCGACCCAGGCTCCTAGGTTCTGATCTAGCCTCCTTCCCCCACATCCATTGGAATCTACTTAACAGTGCCACGGGGGCACAGACCCAAATATAAAGCAAGATTCCATCAGAACCTTTTCCTCAGGCAAACAGAACAGAGCTTGTAGAGGCACCAGGCCACCAAGATGTCCAGTGGATTCCCAGTGATTTCCAGTGGAACACACAGGCACTGCACCTCCCTCTACCTTTATAGTTTCCTGACTTTCAGCAAATGACTTGGCTTCTCTTAACTTGTCAAAAAGAGTTGAATAATAAAAACCCATCTCAGGCTTCATATGAAGAGTGGATGTTTACTGTGGGCATTTACTAGCTGTTATGATTTGGGTATAAAGTGTTTCTCCTAAATGCTCATGTGTTGAGTTCCCAATGTTGTGTTCAGAGATGGGATTTTGAGGGAGTGACTTGATCATGAGGACTCTGATATCAATGGGTTACCCCATTGATGGATTCACAGTCTGATGGCGTTCTTGGGAGGCAATGGAAAGCTGGAGGTGGAACTCGTAACAGACCTTAACATAAATGACTCCATGGTGGACATATCATTCAGGCCATAGAACTCAGCAGGTAGACATCACCACCTGCCAGAATGAAAACAAAGAACTAATCTATCAAAGTCTATAGTTCTAAGAAAGTCTCTAAATGTACTGGCCTTTCTTTTTGGCTTCTGTAGTTCTGCTTCTGGCTAACTGTTCCTGCCAACTGAAGTATGTCAACCCAGGATATGGTTTTTGTGCTTAAAAGCTCACCCTGAGAAAGGCTTGAGGTTACACTGGGATCTCAAACACCCAATGTACTCACTAGCCAGCTAATAAAGACTTTCTGTTGGCTTAAACCCATGTCGGACTAGTCTTCTCTGGTGGTTACCCCCCAACAACCTCACTGGAGGTTGCACGCCAGTGGTGTGTGGTACTCTGAGGGCTATGCCCAGGTCCTGGCTCCTCACTTGCTATACCACGAGATGATCAACTCTCCTTTACATGCCCTTCTGCCATGTTTTTACCTTACCATGGTCCTACAGGAAATAGACTGAGATCTCTAAAACTATGAGCTAAAGTCGGGCTTTTTCCTCTTACGTCGCTGTGGTGAAAAATCTAACTCCTGTATGAATTCCTCGGTTCCAGTTGTTGACTTTCTCATGGGCCTGGTCGGGACTGACTGAGGTAAGGCAAGGTTCACTGTGGTCTTACAGTCTGGCTCTGATGAGGTGGCTGGGGTCCCCTTTCTTTTGCTGTGGGCCTCTTGTCTGCACCAAACAGCTGCCGGGACGTTCTCCTCAGAATCTTCGTGAAGTAAACGGAAGGCATGGTGTTGCCTTTAAGGAACCAGACATGACCCCCTTAACAAAAGGGCGGTCCGCTTATGAAAGAAAACATTAATCACACATTTTATTTACAAAAGCAACACGACAACATATTAGGTAATGTTTAATAACCGCTTTATTGCCATGTAATTTACCACCATGAAATTCACCCTTCTGCAGAGGGCAATCCAGTGTGGGTTGTAGTCACTGGGTCCTGAAACCATCTCCATCAGAGTATTTTCACACTTCCTCAAGAAGAGTGCCCTCCCCTCCCACCCCTTCACCTCTCCCCCTCCCCCTCCTCTCCTGCTCCAAGCAATTATGAAGTTGCTTTCTGTCTGGAGATTTGCCTTCTCCGGACAGTTTGTGTAAATGGGATGATAACCTACCTGGCATTTTGTGTTTGGTTCCTTTTCTGTGGTAGAATATTTTCAAGGTTGATCTGGGTAGTAGCACAGGACTAACGCTTAGTCCTTTTAATGGCCGAATTATATTCTACTGTAGGCAACTAATAGTTTGTTCATTCATTGGTCAACTGATGGGCGTTTTCTGGCTATTACAAATAACACTGATTTTAACATTCATGTATGATTTTCTATCTGTCCAGTTCTTTGTCCATAGATCAAATACTGGGACTTGTTTCTTGGAGTAACTGTCGATAATTGATTCTGTGAATTCTTCCAAATGATTTGGTGCATATCTAACATTAATGGTGGTGTTACCAGCTAATTCCACAAGGAGCCGAGTACAGTGCACTTCAGTACATCATGTAGTCATTCTGTGCTCAGCCCTCTGAGAAACTGCCAAGCTGTTTCCCAAAGACTGTTGACATTTTTCTTCCTACCGCCAACACATGAGGATTCAGGCTTCTTGCATCCTTGTCAATATTTATTATTGCCTGTCTTCTTGATTATCGATGTGCCAATGGGTCTTTAGAAAGAAAAAACTAATCTCACAATTCTATCTTCGCAATGATTAGGACTGTGCCTGGCACTCAGCAGACACTCGGTATGCAACTGTTACATAAAGGAATGAATACTTTTGTCATCCCCGTGTGAGTGTTTCCATTTTCCCTCATCCCTGTATAGATCACCAACAGCATACACATCTCACAGAGTTACTTACACAGTCCCCCTCCCCATCATTAAAATTTAAAATATCCTGATGTTTCCACACAGCCTCTATAATTATTATTGGCTTGGCTCACCTAATAGGTCCCATAGTGGAAACAGAAGAATGTACCAAACTACTGGACAGTCGGCTTCCTCTACTGTTAAATACTAGAACTATATTTAGCAAGTTAGGGGGATGGAATACTTATTTGGCAAGGCTTTTCAGAATCCCAGATGGAGACATGATTGGATAAAGAGGGCAGACAGAAAAAAATACCCATATTGAAGTTATCTAGAGAAATGAAAACAATAGAATACATTTCCTGAGAGAAATTGGCCGATGTAATTCTAGAAGCTAGAGGCTCCCATGTTTAAACCTGGCGTGTGAGTGGCAGGCTACAGACCCAGGAGAATCAACATCATGGACATGGTCACTTCGCTTCTCACCTCCACAGATCATTATTTCTTGTTCTAGTCAAGCCTTCCAAGGATCAGGTGAGGCCATGTCAAACTCTGGAGGAATAACCTTTACTTAACATCAGCATTACCCTCCAACTCTCTACACAAAATTGATTATTCCAATACCGGAGTGAATCCCAGGATCCTGTTTGGGTTTCATATCTATGGATAATTTTCCTGAGAGGCTGACCTGCTTCTGAACAATGCTCTTTAAGCCTCGTTGCTTACAAACTAAAATAAAGTGAAGAGGAAAAAGGGGGTTGAGCAACAAAGACCACCAACTCCATTATGACAGTCCGATGTCAAATGGTCAGAATTTGATGAGGGTCTGTGTTCCTCAATGCCCCACCATTACCTTTCCCAGAAGTTCCCACCTCAAATCTAGATGTCTTTGAAGCAAGGACTGGACCTGAGCCTCTTACGGCAACTAGACTCATCAGTTGAGGGCCTAACAGTCTGGTCCTTATTCTGCTTCTGAATGTTTCCAGTGTCCCCACCATGTATCTGGAGGAGTTTTAGTGCGGGACTTAGCATCTTACTGAAAACAGTAAGGGGTCAGAACTGTTCTTGTGTGTGTGTGTGTGTGTGTGTGTGTGTGTGTGTGTGTGTGTGTGTGTGTGTGTGTAGTGGAGTAAGCCTGAAGACATGAGACTAAAAGAAATTTTTAGCATGCCATTTAGGAATCCCCGGCTGCTTCTCTGTGTCAGCAGGAAGGGAGAGGGAGTGGGGGACAACTTTTGAAACATCTTTTCTCTCCCTGGGAAAGCTCACTTGAGCACATCCTCGCAGAGAAATGCAAGGCTGTGGGAATGGAATGAGAGGGGATGTGGAGGCCAGTGTGACAGCCTCTTATCTCCTGAGAAGTCTGCTTTTATCCCTCAGACCTCCTGAGGACACAGACTACAGGGACTGGAGGGACTGGTGGCTGGGGGGGGGGGGCTGTAGAGATAAGAGAGGGAATGTTCTAGACAAAATGGAGCCTGTGTCCAGTTTCCTTGAATTCCCGATCAGTCTTTCCCTAACCTTTCCAGCTTGATTCCAAGCTGAGCTCAACCAGATCGCTCCTTTCCTAGAAATATCTTATCCTGATTGACAGGATTCCTATCACACAGTCTGCCCTTTGCAATGTAACACTATCATGGCTGTGTTCACCGTGCTTTGGATATGTGAGGGGCTCTTTCTCCACTTAAATTTTTCTTTGTCCTATGTAACGCTAACATATACTTGTTAGGATAACTGTATTCATGTGTGAATGTATCACAGAGAAGGTTGCTTTGTGAGGTCTCCCAGGATGCTCTCTATGTGTGTGATAACAGCACCTATCTGAGTGTTATAATCATTTAAGCAGTTTACATTCTTTATCGTATTATCTCATGAAATCACCACAATGATCGTGGCGTAGGTTCTTAGATTCCTTTTGACAGCAGAGGAAACTGAGGATCGGTGAACAGGATCCAAACCAACAGGTGGTGGGACAGAGTCCAAATCTCAGCAGATGTCCCCAGAGCTCACTTTCTCTGCCACCTCAATACTTCCTACTGTGCCTGAAATCTGGAGGTGGTAATATGCACACTGCTTTGCAACCAGCTTTTGAATTTCATGTCTTCTTAAACTACTGCTTCTTGGTGCACTTTTTGAATGAAGTGGGGTTATTATCACACACACTGCAAGAGAACCAGACGTCTCACATAATGGGCAGTGTGCATTCTTGTGTGTGTGTGTGTGTGTGTGTGTGTGTGTGTATGTGTGTATGTGTTTGTGTGACTGCAGGTGCATGGGTGTGTCCAGACAGATGTGCATGCTTGTGTGTACTTGTGGGAGTGGAGGCCAGAGAACAACCTCAGATGTCATTCTTCAGATACTATATCTACTTGTGTGTGTGTGTGTGTGTGTGTGTGTGTGTGTGTGCGTGTGTGTGTGTGTGTGTGTGTGTGTGTGTGTGTGTGTGATGTACTTTTAGGATGTGCATGGTGTGCAGGAGGATTCCCATGTATTTGTATGTGCAGGCATGTGGAGGCCAGCAGCAGACTTCCAGTCTTTTCTCAAACAGTTTGGTTTTTGTACCAGGGTCTCTTATGGAACCTGAAGCTCATAGATTTGACTAGGCTAGCTGGCTGAGGAGCTCCAGGGATCCACAGTCTCTACCACCCCTGCCCCACCCAGCACTTGGGCGCTAGGTACATGCCATCATACCCAGCTTTTACAGAAGCTCTGGAGATGTGAACTCAGGTCCTTGTGGTTGCCCAGGAAGCACTTTACGGCTGACTGAGCTCTCTCCCCAGCCCAGTTCCAAGTCTTAGGAGACAAGGTCTCTCACTGACCTGGGAATCAACAGGTAGGCCAGGCTAGCTGGTTGGTGGGACCCAGGGATCCCCCTGTCTCCCTCTGTCTCCCTGGCACTTACAACTGTGTGCTAGCACACCCAGCTTTTTTTTTTTTTTTTAAATGTGGATTCTGAATGTCAGACTCACGTCCAAAATGCTTGAGCTCTTTATAGTCTGAGCCACCTCCCTGCCTGGCACTGTGTATTCCAAAGGAATGTGTTTTGCCCCATCACCACAGAAGCTACAAATATTTGAAAAGAGCAGTCAGTATATAAATGAACCACAGTGTTTCTCTGATTTATACCATAGAAATAAAGACCATCCAAAGGAGAAAAAGCAAAACCACTTTCCTTTTTTGGTTTTTTGAGACAGGGTTTCTTGGGGTAATTTTGGTGCCTGTCCTGGATCTCGCTCTGCAGACCAGGCTGGCCTCAAACTCACGGAGATCCGCCTGGCTCTGCCTCCCGAGCGCTGGGATTAGAGGCGTGCACCACCACCGCCTGGCTTCAAAACCACTTTCTTTTACTTTGCCAGACCCAGGGAGTTGGCCACCAATACTTGTCCTCTGGCAGAGCCTTCAATGAAGGCCAAGGAGAGATTCATCGTAGTTAGAGAGGCCTGGGGTTTCCCCGATTGGAAGCTGTTGGCCTTGGGAATTAGGTGGCAACCGAGAAGCTGGGCACCAGCTTCTGGCTGGGCACCTATCAGACTGGTAAGGGTGTACATCTGGCTTTGTCTGCTTCGTGCCATGTTGGAAGCGAGGACAAAAGTTAGAGAGGTTGTCAGTTATTAAGTCCCGGCCACGTGGGGCTGTTATTACAAACGCTATTGCTTCATTTCCTGGGCTGTCATGAGAGATGTCATGGGGTTCCCCGAAGAGCTGAATGACAGCAGACTGATCCTCCCAAAGTGACAATTGTAGATAATGGCATGGTGTCCCCAGGCAGGCTGCTGCAAGGGAGGGTTAAAAAAATCCATTTTACACGTGGTCTGGCCATCATTATTTTTA